GAGAGAGAGAGAGAGAGAGAGAGAGAGAGAGAGAGGGGAGGGAGAGGGAGAGAAAGAGGCATATAGAGAAAGAGAGACAAAAAGAACGAAAGTGTGAAATAGTCCTTCTCCACAATATTAAATAGAATAACCAAAGTGATTCTTCCCCTCCGCAGACTGTGAGTACGGCAACAAGAGGATATTTTGTCGGCGCAGTGCTTGTAAGTACGGGACTAGCATCCTCCGGGAACAGTGTTGTGAGACCTGTAGTGTCAGTAGACCCACCACCACCACCACCACCACCACGGGCCCCAGCTGTAAGTAATGGTGATTTTATTGCTGTTTTTGTTGTTGTTCTTGTTGATGTTGCTGTTGTAGTTGTTGTAGCTATTCTTGTTGTTTAGGTCGTTGTTGTTGTTTCTGTTGTTGTTATTGTTGTTGTTGTTGTTGTTGTTGTTGTTGTTGTTGTTGTTAGTGTTTGGGTTGCTGTTGTTGTCATCGTCGTTGTTGTTATGGTTGTTGTTGCTATTTTTGTTTCTGACGCTCTTCTTGTTAATTTTTAAATACAAGGTTGTTTCTTATCGTCACTACAATTTATCACTTATATGGATAGAATTTGAAAAGAGGCCAACACAGAACCAGACGCACTAAATGAATTACTCTTCCCTAATGACCAAAGCCTGGAACACAAAGATGACCGAAGTCTCCAACACCACACCACGAGATTAAACGAAGAATGTAACAACAACAACATGAAGATCAACATCAACAAAACAGAGACAATGAAAGTAAGCAGAAAGCCAGAACCATTCAAGATGCACATCATCAACAGCAGTCTCAGACAGGTCCAAGAAGTATATTCACAGAGGATCAGAGACTGAACAGAGAAATTACAACACGAGTACAAAAAGGCCAATAATGTTAGTTACCAGCTTACTTCACTACTGGAACATCCTAAAATCCCCATGACAATAAAACTCAAAATGATCAACACCATATTTATCCCAACACGGATAAAAGTAAAGTAAAGTATCTACAATACTTTTGTTATAAACAGTCGGAAAGAATGTAACTTTGACATGTTTTTTTCAGCCGATATAGGCATATTTTCCATTGTGATTTAGATGGACTCCTATCTTTGACTGTAAGCCTGTGTGTGTGCGTATGTTTTTGTGGGTGCGTATGTATGTGTGTTTGTGTTTGTGTGTTTGTGTGTGGGGGGGGGGGGTTGTGTGTGTGTGTGTGTGTATGTGTGTACGTGGTTTAACATCAAATTAATGTGCCGAGACCAGGACAATAAAGATGTATCTTATCTTGCAACATTCTGACCCGCAGTGAGAACAACCAGAGGAACTACGCTCAGAGTGACCACGCCTCCCCCAGTGGTGACCACACCACGACCAGGTATGTCCAGCACTCTCTGTGCTTGTGCCAGTTAGGTACATAAAATGTGTGGGGTGTGGGGGGGGAGGTATTTTTTTGTTGTTGTTGTTGTTGTCCCGTGTCCTGATTTTGGTGCCCATATTTGTTGTTTACGTAACAATGTATTGACATGGTGCAAATTATTGTTATGTTTTCTAGAGAAACGAAAGAAGGGAAAGGGGAAATTGTTAAGTCGGTAATGATGATGGTAATGATGATAGTGATGCTGGTGGTGATGGTGACGTTGACGGTAATGGTAATTGTGATGGTGATCATGATGATGATTATGTATGTTTACGATGATGATGTTCCGATCTGGAAATGATCTGCATATTAGTCATTTTCACCCTTAACATTTAATAAAAGTATGCCGAAAAATCACATGGGGGCCTCTTCTAAGTGATGACATTATTAGTTTTTTTGTTACCCTACGTCTATGCTATCATATTTTCAAAACAGTGAAAGGAGTGTTGCCAATAATCTTTGCAATATTAATTTTCAAAGTCAAGGCAGACAAACTTGTGTGCTTACAAGTTATCGTAATTGTCGTTCGCATCCGGTCTGGAGGCACTTCCATGATCGTCGTAGCAGGTAATAAGCCTGAAAATCCAGGCACAGAAGACCAGAGAATTACAGAATTGCCCCTTCTTAAAGTGTTATCAGCAAATTAACCAAGAGTATATACATATATTTGCACACCAAAAGCAGCACACAATACTGGAAGACCGGAAGCGAATTTGCGTCCAGTGACAACTCAGACACCACGGCTTAAAAATTCCCCGTCTCCAAAGAGATAGTACACTTATAGGCCACTATTAATCAAATGGAAAGACAGACTAGTTAGAGCACGCATCAGAATAACATTGAGTTACAGTCAGAATACTGAGTATGTATCTGGCTTTAGATTATAATTGTCTCTATTACTGTTCATTTATATTATGCATGTGACTGTAACCCTGCGCGTGGGCTTATGTTTTTGTGGGCGTGTGTGTGTATGTGTGTGTGTGTGTGTGTGTGTGTTTGTGTATGCATGTGTGCGTGTATACGTGGTGAAACATAAAACCAATGTGCCGAGATCTGGACAATAAAGATGTATCTTATCTTACAACATTCTGTCCGGCAGTGACAACA